ATGTGCTGGAAGAGCAAGGCGCCATGTCGCTATTCTTCAGCGTTGTCATTTCCGTTGGCACCGAAAAAGCCGAAAACCTTGAAAGCGTCATCGAGGGTTATCAACACCTTCTTCTTAAGCGCAAACTTTACATCGCAAGAGGCATAGCTGAGCTGTGTGACGGCAATGCAAAGGTGGTGCTGACAAACTTCAGTCACAAATGCAGGCACCTAAATCGTGGTACGACCGTCGTCTGCAATGACGAATTCATGGAGGCCAGCAGTGCCTTCGCCCTCTTCAATGCTGCCGAGACTGCTTCAACAAATCAAGGCCCTGAACCAAATTTCGATGTCTACCCGGGTCTTTCGAAGTGCAAGCGATACCGGTTCAAGTCCCTGTTTTTTTGCGATTCAAGGTTTGCTTCTCATTATCTTCGAAAATTCGACATACCCAAGTCCTGAAACATTGTATAATAATGGAAGAAAGTGACCGATCAGTTCGACAAAGCCTGTACCGAGTCTCGACGCGCGTACGCAACGCCGTGACAAAACAAGTTGACAAAATTCTACGCGACGACATCATTCAGCCGCCCAAGAGTCTGTGGGCGTCACCCGTGGTATTAGTGAAGAAGAAGGACGTGGCCCTGCGTTTTTGCGTTGATTACCGCTGCCTGCACAAAATCACAGAAGAAGGATGTGTACTCTTTTTCACGTATAGACGACGCCCTAGACCAACCCCAAAGTGCAAAATACTTTTTTCGATTAACCTTAAAATGGGCTATTGGCAAATTAAGATTGACGAGAGAGATAGAAAGCAGATGGTCTTTATCACGCCGGACAGCCTCTTCGAGTTTAAGGTCATGTGATATGGTCATTGCTCAGCGCCTGCGGCGTTTCGTTGTGTTATGAACACCTAGCTAGCTGAAGTGAAAAGGTGGATTCGCCTCGTGTACTTGGATGACATCGTCGTGTTTTTCTCAAGCTTCGATGGGCATCTGCGGTGACTTAAAGCGGTACTTCAGGCTATCAAAACCTCTGGACTAACCCTGAAGCCAGAAAAGTGCCACTTTGCGTACGAGGAGTTGTTCCTGGGACACATAAATAGAAATTCAAGAGTCCGTCCGGACCCGTGGTTACCAGCCGCCATCGCTAATTTCCCACAGCCCACTGACAATAAGGCTGTACGCCGATTCCTCAAAGTGTGACCTATTATAGGTGCTTCCTGAAACGTTTTTCACAGATTGCCGAGCCGCTAACACAGCTCACTTAAAGCAAAGTCAAATTCAAGTGTGAAGCGGCACAAAAGAACTCATTTCAAAACCTAAATGACGCCGCCAGACACCACCGATGTTTACGCAATTCGGCAAACATGCTGCAACAGAAGTACACACAGACGCAAGCAGCGTAGGAATCGACGCCGTGCTTATGCAGAGGACTGACGGCGTGGAAAGGGTTATCAGCTATGATAGGCGGTCGCAATTCAAGGCCGAAGCCAACTATTTCGCAAAAGAAAAGGAGTGCCTTGCCGTAATCTGGCAAGCGTCAAAGGTTCGCCCCTACTTCTACAGCAGGCCTGCCGAAGTTGTGAGCGACCACCACGCCTTGTGTTGGCTAGCTAACTTGAAAGTTCCTTCGGGTGGCCTCGCACGGTGGAGCCTCAGACTACATGAATTCAACGTGATCATCATTAACAAGCCTGGAAGAAAACACTGTGACGCCAACTGCTTGTCTCGAGCCCCCTTTAAACCACCGCCGCCCGACGGCCTGGATGAGGACAGCTTGTTTGGAAGAATAACTGCCGACGACTTCACTGAGCAACAGCGAGCTGAACCGGAGCTCAAAAGCCTTGTGGAATACCTCAAGGGCAACAGCACGACTGTATCAAAGGTTTAGACTGAGGTCATTTTTCTTGTGAAACGGAGTTCTCTTAAAGAAGTACTTTTTTTCCCTTCGAGCCAACCCCCTCTTCGTGGATCCTTCAACAAAAAGACGAGAAGTACTTGAGGCCCTGGACGACGACCCGAAGGCAGGACACCTTGATGTTTCCCGCACGCTCGCGAGGATCCAAGAAAGGTATTACTGGTCACGCCTTAGCACCGACGCCGCTCGTTACATGAGGACATACCGAGACTGTCAGCGGCACAAGACACCGCCCAAAAGGCCAGCAGGCTTTCTTTAGCCGATATAGCCACCTCGCTGACCGTCACAACAAATCGAGATGGACCTACTGGGGCCGTTCCCGACGTCGAATTCGGGAAATAGTCGTCGTAGCTACCGACTACCTTTCCCGCTACGCGGAGACAAACGGCCTGACCAAAGGTAGTGCGTCTGAGGAAGCCTAATTTTTCGTCGAGAACCGCGTCCTGCCTCAGTGCACTCCGGAGGTCTTCATTATCGACCGAGGTATGCCATTTACTGCTGAGCTTACCCAAGTGGTTCTGTCATACAGCCAGACACGCCACCGCCAAACGACAGCGTACCAGCCACAGACCGATAGCCTCAATGAGCGCCTAAACAAGACCATCGCTGACTTGCTGGCCATGTACGTCAACGTCGCACACAAAACATGGCATGCCATCTTTCCGTACGTGACCTTCGCATACAACACCGCCATGCAAAAAACGATGCAGAGGACGCCGTACAAGTTGGTCTACGGAAGGACGCCAGCTGTACTGTTTAGGAGTATATTGGGTAGAATGACCAAGATCAGGCCGGTGATGAAAGCAGGACTTCCAATTAGCAAACTTGAAAAAGTTACTTATTTACACTTAGAGGAAACGTTTACTGGTCCTCGTTGATCCGGCGCCGCCATCTCAGCTTTCTCGGGCCCCTCTCATCTCTCCTCCCTTTTGGTCTTTTTTACCCCCGTATATCCCGTCTTTTTTCCTCTCTTGGTACATTGGTACATTTCACGACCGGCAGGGGCGGCTCGCAGCAAGAAGGGGGTTCAAGGTGTGTGAATCATCTACACGGAGGCCGACTTCCCCTCAACTCGAAGGGCACAATTGACCAGTTCCGTCACGTCGACCCATCCACTTCCACACACAGCGTCAACTTTTCCGCTTCCCGAAACAGCGGCCGCATTCGGCGGGGCTTAGTTGTGACGCCAGCGCGCCCGTCTCGCGACACCATGGTAAGCCCCGAGTAAGAGTCGCCGCATTCGCGGAACCGAGTTCTGGCGACAGCGCACCCGTCTTGAACACGTCACTGGCAGCGGGACGCAACACGGCAACGACCCTTGATGCCATGTTACCCAACGTCTCCAACGAAGAAAACATCGATAAAAGCCAGTACTTTCAGCACGCCGAAATGGCCCGAGAATTCGCCTGCCTCCACATCAAGAACGAACAGACGACGAATTGCCGCAGTTACAATCTTTGACGACGCTTCGTGTAATACTAGCTCAGTGAACGTGTTTTGGTATTGACGCCAATACGTGGACGTGGACTCAGTGAAAAACTTCTGCAATTGTATTTTCGTCCACAAAGGGTATATTGACTTATCAGCCCACTCGATTACGAGGTTGTCTCCGGCGGAATCATGAACTCTCAACGACGCCTATCGCGACCTTAAGTCGTCCATATCGCACGCCTCAAGCAGTTTCATGCGCGTTAGTGAACTGAAACAGTGTATTGTGTTGTTGTTGTTGAACGCTATGGGCAGCGCTCTTCGTTATTCTGAAAAAAAAGCACGCACTACTGCTGCATTTTGAGCTGGTGAAAAAGTATAAACATAATGAATACCTCAAAACTACCCGTCGAGTTATACCGTCTTCAATGCAAACAGTGCGAGAAGCAAAAGCGTTAAAGAGTGCATTATGACAATTCGCTGATACTCCGCGGTCTCGTTACTTTGATAACTTTTTTTTGTCTTGCACAATAGTGCCAGTTCCTGTTCCCAAGTTTTTGTTATCGTCCCAAAACACCACACGATTCTCAGCGCAAACCGCGCCTGCAGTTTTCGAGAAGGTTCGGGACTGTAGTAGATCATTTCGATAAGATCACGCCCAGTGTGCGAACGGTACAGATTGTTCTGGAACCTACGCCACCGCCAGCGATAACGCTAGAACATTCGACGGCAAGAGTATAATTGCCGATGCGCTTCGCCGCTTGTCAGTTGTTGATCGAAGGCCGACGCTCCGTTCGCCGCTATCAGTCCGAGACTGCTATCTGTGCGGGACTGCTGCTGTAATTGGACTTTCCGTTTACCGGGCACAGGTTCGCCCAAACAAACAGTTAAATTCTAACACGAAGTCTCCTGTCTTTGGCCACGTCACGACCCCCGTTATAATAGATAGACATCTAAGGTTAAACGTCCCAAAACCACCATATGATTATGAGGAACTATGTAGTGAAGGGCTCCGCACATTTCTACCACCTAGCACCATAGACAAGGGTTTGAGGGATCTTCCCCCTCTTTGGTAATCGGTGGCGTAGCGGAGGATGTCTCAGTACCGAGGCCTCGCATTGATTGGCTGCAAGGTATCCAGAACTAGTCAAGTACTTCGAGCTTACGAAATTGTCACTCTGGTGAGGTTGGCGTGTCTCGTGCTTAAAAATCACCTGAGCAAGCTCAACATAGTGATTACACGTAGCTCTTCACGGTGGAAGTTGTTAGTGAAATTTGGTTCTAGGTCTGTGCGAGTGCGCTGCGGTGGCATTGACGGCCACGCAACATCAGCTACTACTTTCATCACCATAGAGTGCCCCCTATCCTTCATACAGTACCATAATATGTTAGTGCAGAATCTGAGCTGACCGGAGAATAATCTATAAATACATGGACACAAAAAAACAGAAGGCTATACAATCCCCGTCGTCTTGAGCGAACGCCTAAGGAACCTTGTGAGTCTTTTTGTTCTTGTTAAAAAACGAAATGTTTTGGTGATGGAGGGGGGTGGAATTCCTGTTGCCAAGCGAAGGCAGAAAACGCATGTGGATGCCACTGTAGTGACCCAATGGGAAGCGTGATCCAATTCGTAAAGTGGTGACAATAAGAGATTGTCTTGTGGTCTTTTCACAGACTCCTTCAACCAAGTTTGCTACATGCAGTCTCCGATGACGTCACCAGGTGCGTTGCCTTTCACAATGGTGGATCTTGGTCTGTGTAGCCACATCATTATGGGCTTTGCTACCATTGGGGATGACTACAGAGTCAACCTCAACTCTATCGGTGGCCACGAGGCGCTTACCTCCTTTGCTGAGCTGCGCAAGCAGAAGCCATCGCTGAAACTGATGATATCAGTTGGAGGAAGAGGAGATGACAAAAATTTCAAGGACATGGTCTACAATGAGTCCAACCGCCAGAGGTAAAGCTGTTCAAATTTTGATGGATGTTTTATTTCCCAATGAAGAAAAATATGAGAAATGTGCGCAATTACCAAGCTACAAACTATGAAAGCAAGGTGTTGCTCAGCGGCTGAAGGTTATAGGTGATTTTTTGATGTGGTGAATTGGAGCAGCCCTGATTGACCAAATTATCGTTAATATCTTGGGCCAGCGAAGTCCCGTGCGTGACTTGCTGGGCAGCAAATATTCTTTTACATTAACGGGCCTAAACGTTTACATGCGTGATTCTTTAGCATGTATTGCATCATCGAAGTATGTTATTATGTTTATTATACTTCTGGCTAACATCTTACGCATCTATTTGTATCAGTAACCACGAAAAGCTGTATTTGAAAATCACCATAGCAGCATCCATGCAGGTGCGACCACCTGATTTGGACTGAACTCGCGCTTGGTGTTCACAACTGCCCAGGCAGAAATAAATTATTAAAAAGTTGTGTATACCGTCCTGCCATCTTATGGCGACAGAAATCATCTTGTTCTTAAGATCATGCTTGTTCAGTCGCTCCTGCAAAACATTGTCCATAGTTATCTGACAGGAATTTTTGGTAGTAGTCTAAAGCAGAGGTGAATGCATTGCTCTCGAAGCTTCAGGCTACAAATATCAAGTAAATAATTGGTTTCTGACTCATTGGTCACACAGTGCACGGCAACTTCATGAGATTTTCTGGCTGGAAGGAACCCACTTAGGCAGGTGCTGCAATTCACTTTTATTGGGGAGAAGGGGTGGGGCACTGCTGTGTACGCGTGTGCGCGCACGCGCTATGGGAATGACGAGTCGGAAACGCACTGCAGATGAAAACATAATGAGCAGTGCAGCCCAATCCCACGTTCTATAAACTCCAATTCCATAATCTAAGTGGTGTCATTTCATTTTCTTTGAGCAAACTAGCTGCGAAAAATTGTCACAACAACAGAAAAGAATGGCACTAGCCTAAGAATGTTTAGTTTTAACTTGCAGAAGCTGTATTTATTCAGGGACGAGTATCACTGAAAACCGCGTTGGTAATGTTATGCTCAATATGCCCAAAAGGTTTAGCTGTTAGTGCATTATATTGTTGATATTCTAAATACATCTTCGCGCAATTCACATAAATACCGATTACGGAGTGTGTTTTAAGCTTGCATTGATGTTGAATCTTGAGGATGGCACATAATTATTCCACATGAAGAAAATTACTTTTTAATATTTGTGGGACCCACATCTTTTTTTTAGAAATCAGAAAGTGCGGTAACACACCCTCGCGCCTACATTCGGTTGGTAAAAAACTGATAGGGCTAAAAAAATTCGAATGAAGTTACGAAAAATGAGCACGCTGTTGTTAATTATGGTATTTGTGGCATGAAATGAGCTTACAATGTACGAGGAACTGTTATGCTGCTCTTTTAGTTTATAGAAATATTATACTGGTATTCAGCATAGTAACTGTGCACCAACATTAATACCAGACGGCTGAAGATACAGCTGAACGAAAGTCCCTCATAATAAGTTCCATTCTTGGTATCCTGTAGCTGACAAAACAGACAGCTTGGAGAAGACAGTTTCGGAGACTAATACTATTGAGCCTACATGGCTGTCCAAACAGCATGGTGGTCTGACAGAGGGGCACGAAATCTCCTAGGATCTCGCCAATTAAAAAAAAACAAAGACATCACCAGGTTTTGCTAGGCGATTGATGTCATCTACGTTGAAATTTTTACAGTGCTTGAACAATAAACAGGTCAAAACTGCAGCAATTCTTCGGGATATTCTTAGCTTTCCCTTGTCGGCAAGAATTATGTCACGCATTCGTCATGCGTACTCGTTACGTTCTCCCGGTGACTTGGGTTCGATGTTGTGCTTCAAGCTGTTAACGTCGACTACTTACGCTTCTAAGTACAACGGTATTTCAGTTCATCCAGGTTCATTTGATTGATGTGTAGTGTTTAATTCAGCTATGTTCAAGAAGGTCTGATATTGTGTAAGGGAACACACTGGAGGGCCCACATTTAGGAACGTGTCTAGTGCTAAAACGTTTTGTTCGAGAGAAAAATTAAGGTAACCACAATGCGGGGCAGATTGTCAAGAAATCTTGCTGACCAGTAAAAAAAGTATTACGAGAGAGAAGCTTTGTGAAGTACACGCCAGTCCAGCTCAATATAATCTCATCCAAACACGTGACCCTCCAGCATGCTGCGTTCACTCGTTGGTATTAGGTTTGACTGTATAACAGTAATAATATTTGTAATTGAAGTTTTATGTCCCAAAACAAGGATGTCACTTTAACGACCTTTCATATGACTCCTATACTAGACGACACATTCAAAATAACGCACGTTCTCAGTAGTTCAAAAGTCTTAGTGCATATCATCGAAAGAACTCATTGCGATAATTGTCGGCATAATATAGAACTTCTTTTTTGGATAATTTGTACAACAAAAATTTATATTTTCACTAATCAGCTATAGTTGTATGTATGCTAATACGACCAACTGGTCGCTTTCAACGTTAGATAACCATGATGGTTTTTTCTACTCTTAGCTAACAGTAAATGATAAGGTTTGAGATTCTCGTTAAATGCGGTGGCACAGCCTTTGCAGCCGTTATCTCGAACTTCATGTATCAGGCCGCTTGCTTCAATATGCAAGCGAGTGATAAAGAGACCGAGAGTCCAATATGTATTGCCCATTATACTGCATTTCACATTGCTGGCTGAAAGTTATTGGTGGGTTATCCAGGTTTGAACGATGGTCTACAGAACATAGTAAATCATTGGGAACAGTCAAGTCTGAACAGAAGGAATGTCTTGCAAAAGCACTCGATTAGCTGACTGTACATCATGTGTGTGCAGACGACAAGAGCAGTGTCAATACTACCTAGATAATTTTAGGCCTGCTTGCTGCTTCTGAAGTAGGCTGTGACGTCATCCCAATTACACCGACGTGTTTCGCTGCACAGACGTGCGTATACGCTTGCTCTCTTCACTTGACAGACATGGACTCCCAAACCTGACGAAGGTTCTTGTGGCGTGCTGGTGTGCTTGTTGACGACTCGACAAGACCGTGTTTTTCTGTGTCCGTGAGCTGCAGCGTGGATATGTCATGCACTTTGTGCACTGAATATATATTCGCAATCTGTACGGCTGCGATTCTGAATGGTTGGGGATGCTGCATTGCAAATAGTCGTCAAAAAAGAACTGAAGTTCGACTATTTTCTTTTTCTAAGGACAACTAAGCCCCACCGTAATGTTCTCGTGGGTAATGTACTTAGCCTCTGACCCGCAGGTGGCACGATCAAAGCCCGGCTGCGGCGGCTGCATTTTCGATGGAGGTGAAATTGCAATAGGCCCGTGTGCTTAGACTTGGGTGCATTGTAAAAAAACCCCACTGGTCTAGATTTCCGTAGCCCTTCACTACAGTGTCTCTAATAATAATATGGTGGTTTCGGGATGGTCAACCCCAAACTAAAAATTGTTATTAATAAAATTTTATGCGTGTAGACACTTACGGTAAAGCACTTTCTGATATGGTTTTCAGGTATGTGTTCTCTACTTTGAGTTGGAATACCCAAGAGACACTAACAAATATAGCAATCTAAGGACCGGCAGTGCAGTAGAAGCACCCATGGTTTAATCTATACCCAGTATTGTAGGCCCGTATGCTCAGATTTGGGTGCACGTTAAAGAACCCCAGGTGGTCGAAATTTTCGGAGCCCTCCACAACGGCGTCTCTCATAATCATATGGTGGTTTTGGGACGTTAAACCCACATATTTATCAATCATAAATCTATACCCAGTGCTCTCATTTTTCCCAAGCCTTAAGTTATCGAAACGACTACACACAACTGCGAAAAAGGCCAGAGCAAGAAGTAAACGCCACTCCTTGGGCCAGTCACAAGAAGTGTTTTTGAAACGACAGTTTTTGCTTTCTCTTGTAGTGGTCATCACCCATATACTGTGCTAAATAACATACATGTGGCTGCAGCACACACTCTTCTCATTATGTACGTGTCTACGAAGACAGATGTTCGAAAGAGTACAAAGAAAACGGCAGAAACTTTGTAAATGAGCGCGAAAAACTGATAAAACATTTTATTTATCACTTCAGGAGCACTTTCTTGGTCCTTTAACTTTAGCCTATATAAACGGACCACGCGTTTGACAGCGTACAATGTTTGACCTTTTTGTGTAAGAAAGGGCTCACAAGTGAATCTTTAAACGCTTTTAGGTGCAAAAGACGCAAAACCGCGCCTTCTTTGACCCCAAAGCAATATAAAGCTGTTAAGCTAGTAAAACGTGCCGCGAACGCTCTGTCTTTTAACGGGAAACGATGATGGCATTGGATTCACGGCCGTGCTTGCGCTTGCTCGGGCAAAACAAGTGAAGTTACGGCGGCACTGAGCAGGCCTGATAATATTTTTCCATATGGCATTTGCCGTGTGCTTTCACATCCTGTGGTTGTCATGACAACTCTCGCGTATTTGTTCCTTGCTTCCGTATGCAGGTTCATCGAGTCGATGCAGTGGGAAGTGAACAATTTTCAACTTGAAGGGATGGACTTCGATTGGGAGGTCCCAGAAGTGTTCGATACAGTAAAGCTGGTCGATCTTATCGAGGTATGAGGAAAGTTCACTCAACACATCCTCCATTCTGAGCCTTGAATATCAGCTACACTATGATGAAGTACCAGACCCTCGTTACGTGGCTTAGCAACAGCCGTATTCTGTACACTCTTAAAACACTCTGCAGCGATTCCACGTACATGATTAAGCCAAAGTATATATGTAGTGCATGTTCACGTACGCAACTAATAAATGAAGTGACCTAAAATGCACTTTTCGATTTAGCGTAAAAAATGTGGGGGTGCCTAAATACGCCTACGAAAAGCGCAGCGCATGAGGTGGTAGCACTATATATAATGCATAATTTAAAAGTAACGTAATTTGATAAATTCATTGAAGTGTTCTGCCAGACAAGTTTTACGCTGGTAATTGAGGCGAAGCACATTGAAGTTCATTTGTACTTGGAGTAAGCTGCTCAGATAAACTAAATTCATCGGTATCTGTGCAGGAATAAAAGGGGCTTGATATGGCCGGATCCTTAACTAAGCTATAAAAAGGACAAATTCTTGGGAGACCGCAAAAAGAGAACGAATAAAATGCGACTTATTCGGCTTGAATTCATCGAGGTAGCATAGCCTAGCAGAGCCATACGCAAACGTACCAACCACATCAAGAAAAGATCACTTATCAGAATATAGAATTGTTGTGTTGAAAAAAAACCTACTGTTCTAATCAATCGACGTGCATTTTTTGTTGACAAAGTTAGTTTCCTCTTATATGTACAATACGTCATGCAAAGAACAATAACTGGTTTGTTACGCCTCCCAGTGCTAACGGACGGGTCTCTCAATAGAACTATAGCATCGCGAATTGTCGGCTGTGTTGTGCATTTTTCACGGTGCGTCAAAACATGGACACCATCAATTGCATTTAATTTTTGCTAATTTATTATAAACGCATATGAAGCGGCGGCCTTTTTCCCTATGTACGAGTATGTGCATGTAGGAAAATGCGTAAAAAAAGTCAACACCCAAGCACTTCGTTCAAATTATTACCCAGAAAAAGCTGAAACATGTGGTACTGGTGTTAGGCAGTGAGTTCTACCGGACGCTTCGCTGAAGACTTTCAGAGTTATTGGTTACATGCTTGTGCTTCCTAACGAGCTTAGACACACGTTTGGTTTGGGTTTTCTACACTGTTTATTTCACATGGCGCATTTTGTGCCTCTGCTCATCATGATCATTGCGGAGTGTAATTGGGTAAAGTGCATTTCGCGATGTGTTAATCTCAGTGTTTAATGTCGAATCACAGGCAGTCACGAACGTCGCAGCCGAAGCCAAAATGTCGCTATAGAAACATGCACCTAAAGCGGGCTTTTGCTCCTATAAACGTGCCCCCGCAATCATCACCTTGACGCTGTTTGCGCCGGAAAGCGCTTGACATCGCGAGCTAACAAGGCGGTGTGGTTTGCAGGATCCGCCCGTCACTGGCGCTTGCATTTATGTCTGCGATTAAGCTCGACTTGGAAGGCTGTCTAAACAGCGGTATGCATTTGCTGCCGGCACTGTGCCTCCCAGGCCTGTTTTTGCACCCTACTCTACCTTCGGCTTGGCGAGTGCGAGCTCTTTCACGTTTACACTGTAGGCGCTCTTCTAGAGTTTTCCGCGGAATACCCATGTGAGAGGTTTCGGGAGAAACTGATGCGCGCTTACTCGGCGCTACAATTACAACAGAATGAATGACGTCACTCATAATGTGGCCAATAGAGCCTGTGCTTGGGTACGACGCTACGGACGACGTAACTGATAACTTAGCCAATGGAAATTGATCGTGACGCCGATGCCGGTTGCTTTTTCGTTTCTGCTAGCCTTTACAGCTTTCGCAGTAAAACGTTACTCTGCCTAAGTGTACGTCGATCTTTGGTAATATGACCAAGATAAGTGTTCTTGGTTATTAATATTTCTGCGACGTGACCATAGCTTGACATGTATAATGTATAGTTTTAGTTGGTTCCTAGGCGCATTATATGTTATCTGTGTCCCTGCAGCCAAGCAAAACAAAGAAGTTGTCAGTGCCGCTAACATCAAGATTTCAAGTATTCACCAATGTGCCCAGCAATAAGTTATTTCACGAGGCTTACGTTGAAACTAATTTGCTAACCGCGTGGCAAGGCACTGTAAGGATAGTCCGTTTCTAGCTTTCTGATTTAACGTGAATTTATGTGTGCCATAAGCACAACGCTTCCTGATCCTAGTGTGGTTTTCGAATTAGTTTGTTCGAATAAACTAGATGGCAATAGGAATTGTGCATCCAAAGGTTAGGCCCTTGTTATAAGCTCCTTGAGTGTAGATGCGATGCCTTTGGTCGGAATAGCTCTAACTGCATTACAGAACAAAGCATTTTTCGATGGTTCTGTATTGAGACTACACAAGGCCCCAAACTGGTCCGTATGCTCTGAGTAGCCGGGCTCAGGAACCTGGTTCTGATACCTCTTTATTGCTTTTTTCACGTACTTAACAGACGTATAAAGTTATCTCGGAAACAAAAGATTTTTTTCATAAATGTCAACATTGTTTCAGACCCCTACCACAATTTGACTGACAATTCAAGGTCAATGAAAAGCGTAGCACGCCTCTACCGATGAGACAAAAACGTTCAAGCTCTCCAGACAATTAACTGACGGTGCAATGACTGGTGATAGAAAGACACGCAAACACATTAACAAATAAAGAGCTATTTGAAGGAATTTGAGTTTCAATTCACACTGTTTAAAATTCTCGCAGCTGCTTCTAAAGTATACATATACAAGCCAATGACCTAGAAACTGTTTGTTTTCAAGTGACCTCCATTACAAAAGCCTATTTCTAAAATGATGTGTTATTGCTACTCACGTCCCTCAGTGAAGGTGAGAGAAGAGCCAGAAATTTGCTGAATTTATTTCCACGCAGAACACGAAAAGGGCTAATGAAGCTCCAGCATGACATATTTCGTTGAAGAAGAGTTGTCCAAGTTAGTAGTGAGGCTTTTTGACAGACGCATTGTGCGACTATCATATCTGAGCTGCAGACAATTTGATACAAAATTCCTACTAACAGAACTTCACTAATTTTTTACACTTTTTTCTCTATTTTTATTGTTGTTGTTGTGTACTTGTCAACCTTACTGAATTCTTTAAAGAGCCGTGTGAGTGAACAAATAGAATAATTTAATAATTCATACAATAAATGAGAACATTTCAGCAAGCGTGTTGGCTTAGCCTTGTTGAAAATTCATGCCCGTATACTATCAGCGCCAAGACACACGGGCAGTCTGTAGTCCTCGTTTTTATTCGTGTGTTCTCGCTCGGGTAGTTCACTATCATTCTTCACTTCACATATTGGCAAATAAATTTAGCAGCTGTTTGTTTCGTATGTCAAAAAATCATTGCATGTTTGATTTGAAGGGGCCCTCCAATACTTTTTGGGCATGGTCAGAAAATGCTTCCGATTGGTAGTCGCGGCTCCCGAAAACACGCGAGCTAGTTATTATAGCGCAGCACACAACCCGGAATTCACAACAAGTGTTCAAGTTCCACTCAAAAATGAATTTTCTCGACAAATGACAAAAGATGTTTTTAAATCACTCGTAGAAAGGGCCCCGCCACGGTGGTCTAGTGGCTAAGGTACTCGGAATCCCGGCGGCGGAGACTGCATTTTAGATGGAAGTGAAATTGCTGTAGGCCCGTGTGCTCAGATTTTGGTGCACGTAAAGAATTCCAGGTGATGAAAATTTCCGGAGCCCTCTACTACGGCGTCTCTCCTATTTAGATGGTGGTGTTGGGACGTTAAACTCTACATATCATCATCACTCGTGAAAAGCCTTCAATCTGCAGCGATTGGTTGATTTGAACGTGGCGCGCTTGGTTGTTACAGTAATCGCCGCGGAAGGCCGCGACTCGTCCACGCGTGCGCACCAAGGAGGATTAAAAAAGTGCTGGAATGAAAATCATCGCCTAGGAGCAAAGCCGTGCCTCTGGCAAGATGAAGTATCACTGTTCAGCGATTAAAAAAGGGGAAGTTTATTGTACACATAACTTGTATATACACAAAGGAAACTTCGAAAACAAGTACTGACAGTGTATTCATCTAACAAATGAGAACCAAAATCTAGCTGATCACTGGGTATCCAAATGTTACAAGTCAAAGAAAAATTAAAGTGAATCAAATTAATCAAATTTCACAAAATACCACATATGCATGCGTGCTAGAGTGGACGCATGACTAGTACGGAACAACTGGAAAGTTAAGATGTCCCTCCTTTACTCTGAAGAAACGTGTATGCCATCGTCGAAGGAAAGACTCTTCGCCGTGCGTGTCTAGCTACTGATCCAGGTAATTACAAACAATGAGCCGTATTTTCTGGAGTGTGCGGTAGGCGCCTTTAAGAGGCTTGTGCCGTACTTCCGCTAAACAGCGTCACCGCCACAGTACGTACAAGGTCGCTGTAAAGACCAGTCTTGCAAACAGCTCACGTTCTGCTCGCATGGGCACTGTGCGAGAGCCAAAGAGGCGTTGTCCCATGTGCCAGAACCCTTTCGCCACCGAGCAGTGAAACAGAGCATGTTGAGCCGTCTCTCGTTTGCCACAGTTTGGACAGCGGTCATTTGGAACGACTCCCCAATCTGCTGACCGGTCACGCGTAGATAATGCCCTCCATCTGCTCAACCAGTCAAACTCGCGCACCTGGTTAGGTACGCGAATGGAACACCATCGTTTCCATTTTTCTGGACAGGATGCTTTTTCTTCCTCTTTGCTCAGTCTGCTACTTATCACCATTTCGCTTAGTTCTTGTGATGAAACATCTTCCAGACTGCATGAACCCATTGATTCCACTATTCGTTTTAAGCCACTGGCAGCTCTGTAAAACTTAAACGGAATTTCTTCTCGTGGTTCAATGTATGGATTTGCCTTGAAAATTCTTTTAGTGTACTGCTTCAGTACATCAAGAGCCTGTAACCGGGGTAGTTTTTGTCATCAAAAAGCTTCTGTGTTTTAATAACAGAAAATTTCCCTCACACTCCCAATGAGTGAAATGTGGAAACTTTTTTCGGGTGACGTAGTGTTTATAGTGCGTCTTAGTGGTACTAGTTTTGGGAAATTCAGTCACCCATACTCGCTTCTGTGTTTTATTTTGACGGGAACAACTGTCTTTTAATTTAGAACAAACGTAGAATTTACACTGACATATTAAAGCCAATTTATCTCTAAGTCGGCAATATCGGAAAAAACATGTTTATTCATTTATTTATTTATTTATTTATTTATTTATTTATTTATTTATTTAAAGTACCTTACAGATCCCTCGAGGGACATTGTGTAAGGGAACGGTACAGATAATATGTTAGAAATATATATATATATATATATACATAATATCTGCACATACATAGTATAGATGTGCCCAACATCTTGGCAGTGGCAAAAGCTGGCTTCACTTCTGCGTGCAAGGCATTGCGGGAGCTTCCACTCCAGCAATTTTGCGAATGCACTTTATAAGCGAATGCACAGTGCGAATGCACTTTATAAGCGACCCTGAATCCGCCGTCTGCGGTGCGCCTCCTCCTCTTCCCTAGCAACAGCGCGAGCAGCGGAGAGGAGTGTCTGTAGCAATGGCGCAGCGACATCACACACCACGTGATTGCGTGCGCTCCGCCCTCCGCTCCATGGCTGCGCGCGCCCGCGTAGCCACGACTTGCTCGAGATCGGCAAGTCTTCATAGGTATAGATCCATCGCAGGCATCAACCTCGACTGCGATACCTCCAACAACGAGTACAACGCAGTCGAATCCGTGCATTGCACGCGTCGTTGAAGATGTCGTGTCGGTTGAAGACAAGGCAGCGCGGCGAAGGGCCCGTGATGCCGAGCGCAAGCGGGCGAAGCGGGCGGCGGACATAAGCATTATTATAGTGCGAATTTACTCTCGGTGCGTAAACTCACCAAGATTTCCCGAGAGGGTCTAATGATTCCTGGAAATCGCAATGTGATCACACGGAAGAGTTTACCTTAACTCACTGGCGAATGCCAACGGATTTTAACTTTACTCTCCCTCATTGCATCACCCCGTGCATTCGCACTTAACCATGTTCACCCTCGGGGAAATGCTTGGGAGATTATTTCTTTAACCCCCCTTGGTGTGCACCCAGTCGTACATAAAAAAGCCACGAATTAGTTTAAAAAAAAGAAAAAGCGTTCAAGGTCACGAGGCGTGCGTGAAGTATTTCCATTGTGCCTGCCAGTGCTCCCTACGTAGCTTGCAGCGCTTTCTTCAGGACAAGAGAGGAGGGAATGTGATCGCCACGTGCAAAAAGTCTTTGTAACTCTGATCATGCCTCACAGATTATTAAAACTTTTGCGGCGTCGAATTCGGGAGGGAATGAGCACTTTTAGTGAATTCATTCCATGTTTAGTTCAAAAATGCTTTATTATGATCATTACTGTGGTCTGAATCGTTGTGGTCTATCTCCCATGCTTTCATCCTGCTCAGGATATGTCCGATGAATTTAAGAGGAATCCAGGCTATCCTTTTATTTTCTCTGTTGCTCTGCCCGCTACTATACCAGTGGATCTGAAACGATATTACGTCCGCAACATCACCAAGTGAGTATGACTTGTTTATTTGACTAGGGTAGGATAGAATTTTGCAAGGATAGGTTACGATCTTAACGACGCTATTTCACGTGTTCGGATCCACTCTGTCTCAAGTCCTCCGTCACGACCTAAAATTTTTCATGTGCAACTGGAGCATGAATATTATTCGAACATTTACTAATCGCATATGCGACCATCACATCTGCACATTTTAAAGTGAAACCTATCCTTGCTTACAGCAAGCACCTTTTTTGTTTCTCTGCGTGTCTATGTATTGATCTCTCTGTCTAGCCACTTACGTATGAATGCTCTCACGAGCATCTTCATACCCGTGGCGGGAACCAAAATTAGTATGAGAGTGTAAGATGGTGCAGAGAGCGAGAGTAGAGAGACGTGAGACGGTGTCGAAGATGGAGACGGGGCCGTACTGATGTCGCCCCTTTATCCCAGGCCTGGTGCGGAGCCACGGCGGCTGCCAGCGTCCGACACGCCAGGCACGTGAGCTCGTTCTATTCTCACGCCTCTCGATCTAGCAGCATCAGCTGCATGAGAGACACCGCGTAGTGTTCAACAATTTATGATAATGATAATGGCACTACATGGGTTTCACGAATATTAGGTGCTGGTCATGACATAGAAAATGTCACAGTCCCGCTGCGTACGTCATCAAACTCTTTCCGCCAGACAGTGGCAGATACCCGAGGGCGGGTATTTCCACTAGTATCTGGGTATGTGCCACACGTGACTGACACTTAGTACGAATTTATTTTATTTGCATACACAGATACACAAGGGCACAGATGAAAGAGGGAGAGAGCAAGCTGGCAACTGCTACCTGGAAGGGCACAACGCCTGCTTACTCTTTCAGGGGGAGGGAAGACACAAAAGAAACAAAGGTTGTATAGAAGAAAGGGAAAATAAGATGAGGAAGTGAGAAACAAAAGACGTAGACTTCGACAAGTATGAGCAAAAAATAAATCAAAAGTAAAAAAAGCAGAAGAAAAATAATTTTAAAAAACAATGATAAGAAAAGACCGTCTATCAACGCGTGGCCAGGTCCGTTTGGTTCATATATGTAAGGAGAGCTCGGTGGGCGTGGTCGCTTCGGGAAGCATTACACCTTGGAAAGAGGAAGTCGTCTAGGGTCGCGCACTTGAGTTTTTGGAATTTATATTCCTTAATCAGCAAAGACCGCTGCGTAGAAAATGTGGGACAGTGCACTACGAGATGCTCAAGTGTTTCGCAGGAGCCACAAGCTGCGCATAACGAGCTGTCAACACGCCTTTGACGGTGTAATCGTTGACGCACCAGCACCGAGCCCACTCTTAGTTTGTACAACAGCGCTCGAGAAATACGAGGCAAGCCACAGCCACGAACACGGGGCGGGAACGATTCATTCGCCACACGCTTGTCTGGGTGCTGCTTTATGAGGTGTCGGCGTATAAGCAGACGAGCGTTTTTCATCGTACAGAGAGTGCCCGGACAGTCAAAGTCATCATTGTTGCATGACGAAGCAAGGCGATCCGCTTCTTCATTGCCCGAGATACCCACGTGCGAAGGTACCTACTGTGCAGCTAGGCATACCCCACGTGACAGAATATTCTTAATGGATTCCATGATGCTGCTCAGAATAGGGCTGTCGGTCTCTTTGCTAGTGAGTCTGCTAAAGGCACCACCAGAGTCGGGGAGGATGACAACCTCCAATGCTGGTAACCCTTCTTGTACGTGCTTAAGGGCGACATCAATCGCTGCTAGCTCGGCTGTTACCGATGAAGAGGGGTGCGGTATTTTAAACAACTGCCTGATATTGGTTGAAGGGAAGAAAAAAGCTGCAGATGCGCTCAGGCCATCGCTGCGTACAGAAGCATCCGTAAATATTTTTACATAGTCTTCAAAGTTGTCAAATAAGTGTGAGTGGGATAATTGGTATAGTTCCGAAACAGGTTGGTTACACTTTTTGCGTATTCCTGGAATTGACAGATAGGTAGGGAAGGTACATGGCCTGTGCTTTTTCGATGTTGGCAGCTGAATCGTTTCAGCGGAATTGCCAGTAATGTCATTGAATAAGCCGCCATTTTACCCATTTGAGAAAGTGGGTGCTGTAACAGCCTGTTAAGGAGTGTCTTGCCATGTGGGGCTTGGTTCAGACGCTCAATTTGATGTAGCGCTCTCTGGTCAGCTTGCAGCTTTAGCGGCAACTGGGCTGCTTCAGTCATTAGTGGGATGGATTGTGCTTCACGAGGTAAGCCAAACAGTACTCGGACGGCAACACGATGATCCCGTTCCAGCTGGGACATTAAAGCAGACGGCACATTCAAGACTGGCAAAGCATACATCACGAAAGAGAGTACAGTTGATTGGTAAACCTGTAGTGCCGTCTTTTGATCAATGCCCTCACTCCTAGCAGTCAAGGCGGCTACATACTTGAATAGGGACAGCGCTTTTCGTCTCACAATTTCAAAAGCAGGGCGCCAAGGAAGGCAATCATCGATGATTACACCCAGGTAGCGATGTTGGTGTACCCACTTCATCGGTGTGTCTGCGAGGTAAAGCCTGCTAAAGCTTCGACGAGCACGTTGCCTCGGATGATACGCGATGGCAGCTGACTTCTCAGGTGAAACGTGCAGGCCAACTTCCACCAAGTATTCTGAACTTGCATTCAGAGCTCGCTGCGATATACTACGAAGACGTGGACCATACTGTGACGGCCCACTGACCCAGAGTGCGATCTTTTAGGAATTCCGACCTCGGCGTTCTGATCCTTCAAGGCATTCCAACCTCGTTCATTCCTCGCAAGAATGCCGGCTGCGTTTCCATCTGTTTCCACACTCAAAGCATGCTTATGTTGTCCAGAGCATAACAGCTAGCCTCGCCGACCAGAGCCGTACTTGATAATCCCGGATTGCCACCCTCTCCTAAGAAGTATGTGCAATCTTACGGAACTTCATTGTGATGTGCAACTACAGCCTCTTTGGACATTTTTTGTGTTCAAAGAGTGCTTGTTCATCATGTATGGGAATATGTAACGTGCGCATTCTATCATAGGGAGGGGAATTCCTGTAACGTAAGGAAGTAGCGATGGTTGGTAGAAGCTGAGGTAGAAGAAGTCAGAAAAAAATAAACATGGCGTAACATGGCGTGTGAGCTGGGCCATGTCTCCCATTTATCATAGCGTCACAAATATATATATATATTGTCACGTGATTACAGAACGACCACAGCGTCTGTTCACAGAAGCAGCACTGGACGTCGAGCCGAACCGAACGTTAGAGCACTGGCACACCAACCGTCCTCTTTTTCTTTCACACCATGGCACATACTCGCATTGATATGGCTAAACTTGGTTCCATGCCTGGTTGCGTCGTCGAGCATCTGTTTCACTTGAAAACGTATTGCCTCTTGCTCTTTTTGCGACACGCGGTAGGCGTGCTGTCGTACAGGCTAATCGGTAGGGTCCGTTATAATGCGGTGCTTCACGGTTGGGGTCTGCTTGATTTTGGAGGTGGACGCAAAGCAGTCACTATATGTACGTAAAATCATGCGTATCTGGTGCTGCTGCGCCGAGGATAGCTGGCAATTCACGTCAACTGTACTGGATATTGCAGTGTTACCTTCGGCAGCAGTGGCAATCGGAGCGATAGTGGAACATTCTTCGTCATCAATGGCTTCAAAGTTCGCGATCGCTGTTCGCTTTGCCAAGTGTTGGTACTGGCCACCAAAATTCGTGATCAGAAGCTGAGTCCTCCGATGTTTCAGTTGGACGATAGCACGCGCGACACAAATCTGCCGAGCCAGGAGCACCGAGAGGTTAGTTTCCGCGATGCCACTACTCTTGTTGTCACAGTCGCTCTCCACAGTTACCAACATACTGGCTCGCGGCAGAGGTGCGATGGTGTCGTCAGCAATTCGAAGTGTTGTGGTCGGCGCAACTGCATTCTTTCGTAGGGCTGTATGGTCGTTAGATAACGTTATGAGCAGGTCGCGAAGGTTAATAATGGCTCCAAGCTCGCGGAGAAAGTCCATTCTGAGAATCAGGTTTTGGGAGCATTCGCGCAATACAACGAAGGAAACAATGTACGTCGACTCACGAATTTGGAGGCAGGCAGTGCACATTCCTAGCGGTATCAATAGGTGACTTCCCTCAGTCCGGAGGTTGGTTCCATGTCCCCAAGGTGTCGTTACCTTTCTTAGCTGTGCAGCGAGGTCAGCGCTTATAACAGAATAATCGGCACCCGTATCTACCAGAGCGGTCAGCGGGTGGTTGTTGACAAAGACAGAGATACGAGCAGAGACACGTTTGTCGTCGATGGCACACGTCGGTGAAATAACGTCATCGGATGTCGGCAGGCAGATTGGGGGAGGGTTTTGTAACGGTCGATCAACAGCGGCCTCACCCCCAGAGGTCGCTGTTCTCAGTTTCCCCGGCGCGGGCTTGTGAATCAAGGCGATCTTCCTGCAAGGACGTCCGCAAAGGTCGATTGTTGGCCAGGTGACGTGGAACGCCGCAGAGACAGTGAGCGGGATTGGCGTCGCGGAAGGGTTGAGGATCGTTGGCTTGCCAAGTATTCGCCGATAGCACGGGGCCGTTCACCATCTCTGGATCGACAAGCATCCGGACAAAATCCAGGAAGACCTATGTGCCTGTAGGCGCACTCACGGTAGATGTGACCTGGTTCACCACAGTGATAACATAGAGGTTGGTTGTCGGGAGCACGCCATACACTGGATTTCCTTGTAAGGGGTGGGTTTCCGTACTGTGGTGGTCCTGAGTAGAATGACGGCGCCATCTGCAGTGTGGACGGATGGGACGGATAGCCAACAGCCGGTACAGGAGTGCGTAGTGCTTCCGCGTACGTTAATGGGGGAGCTACGGCTGAACGCGGGGCCGTCATGGGTTGGACTTCGGCTGCACGCAGAGTCATGGGGTGCACCAGCTACCGGACCTCTTCGCGAACGACATCCGTTAGAGCAGCAACATGGGGCGGAGAAGACACCCCGTGCAGCTTTTG